GAAAAAAATATTAGAAGAAGAAATAAAACTTGTTAGAGATATTAAATCTAGAAATACGTGAATTTTCTGCCTGCACCAATTATGTTTTTCTGTATAAAAAATAAAGGGAAAAAATCACTAGAATTGTGGTAAATATGAATTCAACAATTAAGGACTTGTCTTACCCAGTCCCCAATTATGTTAATCATGGATCAGACAAGGATAAAGAGTTCTAGTAGACACACATAAAACACCAAAAGTTAAAGATTTGCACATCCCATGTCAATGTACATATTTTTTATTATGCACATTATCTTTGTTTGAAAGTTCATAAACTTACACGTGAGAATTAGTCAATGATTAAATTATTGTAGAGACCAATCAAAAAAGCAAACAAATATCTTGTTCCTTTAACACCTCCACCCACCTTGTACGGAGACAATGAATAGAATCATCAAACTCGAGCACTGAAATTTTTGCTTCTTGAAAGACTAATATAATCGAATCTCTTTTCTTAGAACCATCACCTCCTCTGCTAGACAAAATTGCCATAGATTCAACATTACCATGCAACCTGCAATGCAAGATGCGAGAAAATAAAATTATCACTCAACAAAAATAGCAAAGAGCTTACTAAAAATAAATCTGACTTCTTCCACTCTAGTTCTACACTAGTGTTGTGCATTACTTGCAAACCAGCATCAAGGGATCTAAATCACATTCTTTAAGGTGCCCATTCACAATGAAAATGATGAAGATCTTGTAATCTTTTGGGGAGGTGGTGCCAAGTTGAGGTTGTCATGCTACGTGGAGGAAGTCCTCATACATCCTTATTTCCCATACAAAGAAAGATTTCTTTGGGAATTTAGTTCCTTTGCTATTTCATGGATCATCTTGCTAGAAAGGAAAACAAGGGTGCTTATAGGGGTGAGAGATCTTGAGGAGAGATTTGGAGTTTTGTGCACTTAAATGCTTCCCCCTTTGTGTCTATTTGACCAAGTTTTATTTTGATACTCCTTTGTTCTTTATTACCAACAATTGCAGTTCCGTCTTGTAACTTCTTCCTTTCATTGTATCTCCTTTTTCTTTGTTTTGACCTGCCTTTTTGTATGACTTTCTTTTTTGTAGTTCTATTCTTCTTAATAATAGTTGGTTTTATATTTTAAAAAAGCAGTTTAGAATTAATTCACAAAGACCTGGGCATTATTTGCATTCATAACTTGATTCAGATACGCTTCCAACCATATCATATAACTCGTCTTGATGAGCCCACCTTACTCCATCCACCACTGATAAACAAACTAAACAGCATATGGTAATTGATCTGCTGACTTGGATGCAGGGTACTTTAGCAATGTTGTCTACAATTTTATGGGATCCTGTCAAAGAATTAATCGCTCCCCTAGGAAAAGTCGTGAAAGCTACAGTATCAAAAAATAATATCCAACCATTTCTAGAACTCTAATTTATATAAAGATGAAGCTTCTATTTTCTTTCCAAGGTGAGACTTTGAATTGTCCCTCCCTTTTTAAAAAGAAGGATTAATGACAGACTACTACCATAACTTATCTTAATCAACAGAGATGGATAGAAAAAGACTACGACCTGAGAGAGTTGTAGCATGGATATACACTCAAAAACAAGTAAAGGGCATTTATATGTTCTTCGTCTTCCATAATATTAGGGTTCTACAAGCAATATGTAAATGATGTTGGTGTATATGATTTTTGCGGACAGTTAATGATTATATCAAGGAGCCTCCTTTGCAAATATTCGAGATAGTTAGCTAGTAACACATTTTTCTTTCTATGAGAAACAAGCTTATTACTGATATGATGAAAAGTACAAAATGGGAGGCAAAAGGACCCATAATTGAGGAGTATACCTATAGTGGCAAACAAGCTCGAGCGACGCCCCAGAAACACCGTCCATAATGCCACCGCGCTTGACTTCTCCTGAGCTTCTCGATTCTCTGCCACCCTCTTCTTGAACTCTAACAACATAAACCTCGAGGATATTACCAGCGGTGACAACAAGGTTCGGAACTGGACCAATTTGTCGGCGGGCCGGC